TTCTGATTTCTTCCCCAAATACTTTGGCTTATTTCAAGTGTCAGACCTCTGTCCTATAGCAGTACTGTTTCATTTTTTAACTATATCCCCATATTGTCTCTGCTAAGAGGGTGATAAGATTCTGAGTAATTCACTGCATAACAAACTTTCAAAAAAAAAAAAATTCACTGCATAACAAAAGACTCCAAATTTTCTTTAAATTTTATAACAATTATTACATGTGAACTGCACATGGTGAAAATATGGAGAAACATGTCATTGTTTTTTAATCATATGCTCTCACACTTCCATTTAAATTCTTGCAGTTATGGGATGCAGAACTTGTGCGAGAGATCTCATCACATCCTTCTGTCTCAAGGGTGGTCACATTAGGAACTCTGTTTGCCCTAGAACTACAAGCAGATGGGTCTAATGCTGGGTATTTCTTCTTTAACCTTTATTTTTTTTTTCTCATCTATTTGTCTGGAACTTCTGTCCTGGTAGCCTAACATGTAGTTCTTGAAGACTAGTAATTTGGTTTATCACATATGTCTAAACTTAAAAGTTTTGATGTCAAAATTCTTTTAAATGAAAGACAACAGCTTAACCCTTCATGTACATGCGACACCACTCTGTTTTGCATGTTATGAACAGCAGTGCAGACATTAATGGTCTGTGGTGAATTGGTGATCAACAATAGTCCACATCTTATTCCCTAATAGATGAAATAGACCATCCTGGAGGATCTATGACATTTGAGGTTTTGTATATTCAGATACTTTATATTACGACTCCTAATTATATGCTTGGTAGGGGTTATTTTGTCCTCTTTTGGGCGTGTGATCATTTGGTTAATATGGGCATTTTATATATGAGCAAACACATGCTTAAAAAGTCTTGATGCTTTTGCTTCAAGGAGCTTGTATCTATTTTCATTGGCAAACTTAAAGAGTTCCAGGGCTCGACCTGGTTTCTGTTTGGGACATAATCTAAAGATGTGCTGATGATCATATTTATAGGTACGCATCTGTATATGCAAGTTCTCTTCTTCAGATGCTCCGGGAGGATGGTGTGTACATGAGGCCCCTGGGAAATGTCATATATCTCATGTGTGGGCCCTGCACATCCCCTGAAATCTGCAGGCAACAAGTCATCAAACTCTACAGGAGGCTTGAAGAGTTCACAAATCAAAATCAACTTGGAAAATGAGATTGCGTCCTCAAATTTGTATTAAACTTGGAGATTAGTTATACTCCTTCCCAGAGTCAAGAGTTCCGTCTTGCCTTGCTCTTTGCTACTTCCACTCGAGCGTACTGGTCCAACCCAGGTTTTACTACTTTATATATTTAATATTAAATAAATATGCTTCAAATTAAAAGAAAAACTTTATATATATATATATATATATATTTAAATAAATAAATATATAAAGTAGTTGGACGCAATATCAAGCCAAAACTGTGGCGTATTGTATTACTGTCCAACTCCAACTTATATAAACCGAACAACCTGGAATGCGCTTTCTACATTAAACATTATTATTATTTATTCATTCAAGGAGGTTTAAAGGGGAAATAAGAATACAACCTTAGACCTTGTCTGGAAGTAAAGGGGAAAATATTATTAGATTTTGTCCAATGTTGTCTTACATCTCCGATTTGATGAAAGCTATTGTTAGGTATTTGACCAGCTCTTACAAGAATATTTTGGTAGACATAAAATATTGCATAAATGGTAAATTTAAAGCTGTCTCCTTAGCTAAAAATGTTAAAGAATATATACATGAAAAGTTGAAATAACAGACCTTAATACGGGATTTGGATTATTTATGTATTATTATAATTTTTATGTTTTGGATTTAATATATGAGATACTCAAAATTTAAGTAAATTTATGTATTATATTGTATAAGATTGTATATTTAAAATTGACATTAATAAAAAAGGGTTTTTGATAAAATTCAAAAAACAGTAAAGAAAATATTATTTTTTAAAAAATATTTTAAATATAATATTTGATTGATTCACGAAATGATTATTTTATTTCAAAAAATAAAAAAATATACAAAAAAAAACTTGTTTTGTTGTTCTAGTTTATTAATTAACATATAATTTTTTTATTCAAAAAATAAAATTAAAAAAGTGTTTTGGTTGCATTTCTCTTCTTATTAGTTTATTAGTTCCGAACCCCATAATTCGCACAAATCGACAACTGACGTGTGTCACACCAAAACCGCTGACGTCAGCTAAAAGTCGCCACCGTAAATATGTCTTAAACTGACGTGGCAAAGTGCCGACGTGCGGTCACGATTTAATCCCCTACGTAAACTGAGAGGTGAACAAACAAATCCAATCCAGCTAAAAAATATCCACTGTGTTAGGGTCCACCGAAATCGCTTTCACAAATCCCTCAAACCCACCACAAAACGCCACCGAGAGTCATCATCACAGAACCTCATCCGGTGAATGCGGTTAAGAGGACCAGGGTGTTGCCGTGAATCATGTCGTACCTGATAATACCTCGAAACATGGCTGAGAAGAGTCGCCAGAGTAGACCATAAAACAAAAAGATATACAAAAGGTCCCAAAGACCAAACACAGACTTCATCTTACTTCAATAATAGTAGTCACTGGTTCAAACGATTTTCTCTTCGGATTTTCTGTTTTTCCCAAACATACCCCTCGAAACGCTTTAAAACTTTCCTCTTCTTTCTTAGGTTTTTCCTTCATTTCTCACTTTCTTTTTTTCCTCTAGTATCTGTTTCTTATTTGTTCGGTTAAAAATTGACCGTAACTTATAATAAGTAGCTAATTTTGCTGATTTTTATTTTTGTTAGTTTAATTTTATTGTTGGTGTTTAAAAGGTAAATTAGGGTTTTGAGCAGTTTGAATTTGAAGCTTTTGAGTTGAATCACTGAGTTTTTAAAGTGTTGATTTGGTTGACTGTGTAGATCTGGGAAAATTAGGGTTCTGAATTTGGTACTCAGAGAATGCAGAGGCAAACTAGGTATATGGAGAGGACTAATAGTATCGCTAGAGGGAAGAGGAGTTTGGAAGGAGATGAGGAGCAGCAGCCCGAGCGAAAACGACCTGCTTTAGCCAGGTATTTTTCTTTCAAATTTTGTTGCCTTGGTTTGGTACTTTGTTTTCTTGGTTGGTTTTCTAATATATGTTGAGAAGTTATCTGTGGATCCTGGTTGATGCCTTTTATTTCTACTTCAGAAAGGAAAAGGCCAAAAGCAAAAAGCAGGCTTAAATATAGAAGAAAATAAAATTTTTGAATAATTAAAATTAATTGTTTTTTCAGAACAAAATCCAGAACTTTGCTTTTATGTAAAACTATTATGTTCTCTATATACATTTGTTTATATTTATTCGATTATGATCGTGCTGCAAGTTTTTTGGAAGCAGAAAGCAAGTAATAGAAGCATCAACCAATCAGACAAATTGGGGAAAACACAATTCAAATCTTTTTTATTCCTCCTAAGGAATTATTAATTGGATAACATTTTTTTCTTTTTGTCATTTAATTGTGTGACACACTTGGGGATTTTAAAATTCTTAAATTCAGGGTTAATAAATGATGAGGTCTTCTTTCTGTTGAAGTGCCTAGCGTTTTTCTGAAAAAATTACTTGTATATATTATGCAGTGTAATTGTAGAAGCTCTTAAGGTGGATAGCCTGCAGAAGCTTTGCTCATCTTTGGAACCCATTCTTCGTAGAGTTGTAAGACCCATTTTCTACTGTTTTGCTTTCTTTGCAATCAATTTTATCGGGAAACTGTTAAGTCTATGCTTGAGCAGTGCTAGATGGTTGGTTAGTACAATTGTGAGAATCTAAGTTTAGAGGACACTGCTTTAAATGGTAATATGATGTTCTTAACAAGCATTGTTCTGCTGATTGGAGTTTTACTTCTGAATTGGTGTCTTATATGTATGTGTATATGTGCCTACTCATGAACATGCATCTATTGTGCTTTTGTGCACAGTGCCTGTATTGTGTGTATGCGTGTAAGGGCCTTTTCTCAATTTATCATTTATTTCTCTTCAAATTCTCCCTTCCTTTTTTATCCCCTTTAAAGGTTTTTTTTTTTTTCAGGGGACTTGAGTAGATCTTTTATTGAAGTGATTTGGATGAAGAATGCTGATTCTCTTGTTTTACTCGTTCATATTTTTCCTCATAAAACCTACATACCATATGAGGCTTTCCTCTTTTTATTTCCTTCTGGACTGTTCAACTTTGACCTCACTGTTATTATGTTAGGTTCAAATTTTGGTAATTCAATCAGATTTGGTGTAATTGGTTACCTGTTCTCCCAAATTTTTTTGCTGCTGTCACAAATTGCATAATTCTTGCTAATATTTTCAATTAGAGTCAAAATCCCAGATTATATTTATGGGAGATTGAGTCCTGATCGGAATTTTTAGATGATCTTATCTTACATTTATTCACAATCCTTAAGAATGACTATTCCTCTTGTGATATTACTCAATTCTTCCTGCCTCCATCCCTTCTTAAAAATGTTAATTGATATCAAAATAGTTAATATTTGATTTTGTTTTGTAAATTATCACTTATTCATGCACAGGTGCCTATGTTCTGCGTCTGATGATGATTTTCAGTGTTTTCACATCTTAGATGCTCATGACAAAGGAACTCTTAGGTGTAGACACAAGCCTGCCCTTCATCCATGATGATAGATGTCCACTGTTTGTACAGAAATTTGTTGGATGATTCTAAAATGAGCTTTCTGTGTTTTTTATTTAAGAGATCAATTTAGAACAATTTTTAGTGCAATTCTAAGAAAATGTGTTTTGTATTCTGTTATTTTCTCCTTTTGATTATGTTATTTTTCTAATGTTTTCTTCTTATATCTGCCATTGATGCTTTGCAGGTAAGCGAAGAGGTGGAAAGAGCTTTGGCAAAATTAGGCCCTCCTCGACTTAATGGAAGGTAACATATTTATGTCTGCTCATTTATGGTTTTAGAGTCAATTTTGCTTTGTTATGATGTCTCAATATTTAAAAATTTCCTTTCAATTTTACGACATTCACAATGGTGCATGCTAAGTGGTGTTACATTTACATCCCATATCAGTTTGGTTTGAGAGTTTGTGGTAGCCTTGTATTTAGGATGTGCTCACTCCACCTATTACTGATTGGGATTGCATTGTATGCCTAACAGAGTGAAATCAATTAGGGATGTTTGAGATTTGAGAAAGATCACACCTTATGTGATGTAAATGGGCTGCTTGCTTATCAAATGGCGTATCTTTCAGTAGTTGGTGGTTTTAATCTTCAGTTCTGAATTGCTGGTTTTTGACAAATTTTAGATATTGTGAAATATCAGCATGTTTCAAGCATTTTGCATGATGATGTGAGAACATCTTATAATATATTAAATTGCATGTTTTGACATAAAAACAATTGGGTTTTTTTACTATAAATAGTTTTAGCATTTGCTTGGGCAATCATAGGTATATTGCTGAATATATATGAAGTATGAGTGCTGATGACAGTGTCTGTTAGTTCTAATATTTTTGTGTTTAGTCTTGGCTCATTAGGTAGCCAATATTTCAGAACATTGTGGTGATAATTGAAGGTTTGCAATGAAGTTCTGAAAGAGTTTTCAAATGCTTTTTAGGTTTGATTCTTTTCTTGTCCTTTGTGTGTAGGACTGCTTTGGGTAATTAATTGCTTGCCTTTGGATATACTTGAGTGTTGCTGGACATTGATATGAAACTGATGAAACCCATACAATAAGCTCAATTTTATGATTACTTTTATCTGGTTTTTGGCTGGTTGATTGGTATTCTATTTTCTTGAAATAAAATATTTTATCTTGATCCTTTTACGAGAAATGTAGTGGGAATAGGTGTAGTTTATTGTATTTGATGTTATTGATCCTTTACAAGAACCACCTCTTCTTCAGTATTAAGGTTCCTATTCTCTCACAGTCTCCCCACGTTTCCTATACAACATCTTTTACTTTTGCTATTTCTAACACTTTTGGTTTCCAGGTCTTCTCCAAAACGAATTGAAGGTCCAGATGGACGGAGCTTGCAGCTCCACTTCAGGTCCAGGTTGTCCCTTCCTCTTTTCACAGGAGGAAAGGTAGAAGGGGAGCAGGGTGCTGCCATTCATATTGTTCTAGTTGACGCTAACATTGGACATGTTGTAACAACTGGACCTGAAGCCTCTGTAAAGCTAGATGTTGTTGTGCTTGAAGGCGATTTCAACAACGAGGATGATGAAGATTGGACACAAGAAGAATTCGAGAGCCATGTGGTAAAAGAACGTGAAGGAAAAAGACCACTGTTGACTGGTGACTTGCAAGTGACCCTCAAAGAGGGGGTAGGGACACTAGGAGAGCTCACTTTTACCGACAATTCAAGTTGGATAAGAAGCAGGAAATTCAGGCTAGGCTTGAAGGTCGCTTCCGGATATTGTGATGGTATACGTGTACGTGAAGCAAAGACGGAGGCTTTTACTGTCAAGGATCACAGAGGGGAATGTGAGTTTATACTTTATACTATTTCTGATTTTTGCTTTGTGGATTTTTTGAAATTTTATTTGAGTTGAGTTTCTTGACAGTGTACAAGAAGCACTATCCACCTGCATTGCATGATGATGTGTGGAGATTGGAAAAGATCGGAAAAGATGGGTCATTCCACAAGAGGCTTAACTCTGCAGGAATATTCACAGTTGAAGACTTTTTGCGGCTTGTGGTCAGGGATCAACAAAAGTTACGAAATGTGAGTTTGGATTTTGGTTCTGAAAGCAAAAGGCTACTGCTTTGTAGCTGCCTTCTGATATTTCTGTGTTTATAGATTCTTGGAAGTGGCATGTCAAATAAGATGTGGGAAGCTCTATTAGAACACGCAAAGACTTGTGTGCTGAGTGGGAAGCTTTATGTTTATTATACTGATGATTCAAGGAGTGTTGGTGTTGTCTTCAACAACATCTATGAGTTGAATGGCCTCATTACTGGGGAACAGTATGTACCTGCTGATTCTCTATCTGATAGTCAAAAGGTGGGTATATATGTATATGCTGTGTTCATTTCTTCAATTAAATATAAACTGTTATATACCTCTTTATGTTTGAGAGGCTACCATGTGGGATGTGTTAGTAGCAATGTTATCTAGGCTTACAATAATAAATATTTTGCAGTATTTTCTTATATTTTAGAACTTTTTATTAGAAAATACACATACATGCATGTGTGTGTGTGTGTGTGATTTAGTCTTTAAACATGTTGGTTATAGGATGGTTCTCTACCATTTAATTTTGTATTATGTGCTATTATAATTATCTTTTCCTGTTTTAAGTTATATATGATTAGCTGCTTTACTTAGAGCTAGTGCATTTTATTTTAAATGGTTTACCAACTGGATTTGCCTCCTTGTGAGTAGAGGTATCTGGCAGGCTGGAAGGGAGGGAGGCCAGACTAGGGCTTATAGTTCATTGAACCAAAAATTATAGAAAGAAGGAAAAGCTCTGGAGTCTATAGATGCTTTCATGCATGATAGATTAGGATGCTTTGATAATAATTTATTCATTTGAGGGTGCACATTTGGGTCAGATGTACATTGGTCTAATATAAAATGACAAATCTTTTATAAAGAGGTTTGATTAGGCTATTTATCTAAGTTTAGTTAGCTGCATCATAGGTCTAGTAACCGATTGATTAATTTCAACTTTCCTCTCTGTTAATGTAATGCAGATTTATTCAAATCAATTGAAAAGTCAGAAGAAATTAAAGAAAAGAGAAGCCAAAAACCAGCTGCATTTATTGTTGTATTTTGTGGGCTATTGATTTTTTTCTGTGGCATTTCAGTAAAATAGAAAAAATTAAAAAGTATTGGTGGCTGGAAGGAAATGACTACTGTCATAAGTGCAGGACAATACATCATTCCGTTTGAAAATTTGATAGTTGCTTGCAATTTCTAACTTTGTAGGCAGCTGAAGTCTGATGCTGCTGTGCTTTAGCTTTCTGAGATAGAACTGATTTTCAAGAAAAGGGTAATCTGTGGCTTTTTCTTTGTTTCTGGTTTGTAGTTCTGGATGTTAACCTTTTGTTCTCTGGTTCTGGTCCATAGTCATGTTGTACCTGAAAGCATGGCAATGGTAGTTGATGATCTTAACTAAGCTGTGCTTGCTGCAGTGGTTAGAGAGAACTAAAGATTTTCTTTTAATTTATGAGTGATGGAGAGAGCTATTAGAGGACAAATTTGCTTGATGTTAAATTCAAATTAATCAGATAGCATGGATTTGCATTGTTTTCTTGCCAGATAATATTACTTTGTTCTTTTTCTTTTGTGATAGACGTTTACTTGAATATGTGGCTTCTTTGCTGTTTTCTACTGCTTAAGCCGTGTCTCAGCTTTATTTTCATTTTCTATTTTCTAGTTGAATGAAATAGTTTCACTAATTAAACAAGGGGAACAAAAAAATTTCTGCAGGTCTATGTAGATACATTGGTGAAGAAAGCCTATGACAATTGGAATCAAGTCATAGAGTATGATGGCAAGTCACTGTTGAACTTCAGGCAAAATAGGAGGTCAAGTGCCCGAAATGAACTTCAGATGGGTGCGATAGATTACCCTAATGCTTTAGATCAACAACTGCAGTTACCACGGTTGCCGGTTTCAGTTCCTACTGAGCAAGTGCATTCAGGCCTACAGGTTGGAGGTAAGCATTGGGTAAACTTTTAGTTTTTAAGGAAATTTTGCTGATGTCATGATGCAGCTCTCAGCTTAATCTTCCTGTAGTCAATGCTCATAAATATCATTTTGCTTCATGCCTGCTTCCCCTTTTCCTTAGTACAAGACAGAAACTTAACATGATATGGGGTAAAGGTTTTTTCTGAAGGATTAATTCTTGCCGCGAAGTGACCAAATATACTAAATAAATAAAATGATGAAACCACCTAAAAAACAAAATTCTAAAAATATAAATACCTCTGTATCATCTAGCATCACTCTAGTACTATTTTCTTTGGCTGCTTTCTTTTCTAGGTAAAATTCTTTTGCTGATTTTTAAACTTTAGGTTAAGTAGCTTGGACTTGTTAAAAATTGTCCAACACGATCCTGGAAACAATCTGGATCTTTTTGACACAGCAAAATATTGTTTGGACTCGTCTTCATGGCAGGACATTTTCATGGCATGATATAACGTCCTTGGCAGCAATGAGATCTCTAGATAGGTGGTGCTATTGTGGGTAAGGAGGGAGAAGAGTGGGGAATAGAGAGAAAACAGATAAATCAGTGTGATAACAAAACGATAAAAGTAAACAGATAAAAATGGAGAGGAAGGAAAAAAGAAAGGGATGAAAGTGGCTCTG